TAGAGGTCTAGCTTATCTAGATGAAAATAGGTTTGTATTATGATCTTATCATTTTTGTAATATACTCTTCTTTTAATTTAGATTTCTTACATGTTCTGAAAATGGTGTTCTATCAATTGATCGTATAAAAGAAGAATCTCTTGTGTCTGAAGTTAGATAGAAGAAGTTTTCTTTCTTTATTATTTTTTTCATGAATCTTTTTTTTAAATTAGATTGAAGCAAATGCTGGTCCAGATATATGTCGATTACGTATTAATCCATTTAATCGAACATATTTTGGTACGGGTGGTAAAGAAAATGATTTAAAAATATGGTCCATAGAAGAATTAATGAAAAATGAAAAAACAAAAAATAAATCAGTTATCTTTCAAGCAAAAAATGTAAAAAATTATTATTAGATGAATAAATTTTTTTAATTTTATCAAAATTTATTTATTTCCAGATACGACCAAATGCTGTTCGATTACGAATGCCAGTTTGGATAACAGATTTCCAATTTATTGATGAACGAAATCGATGTCTTGTAGTAACTGGACATCATCAAGTTAGATTTTTTTTTTCGAATTTAAAACAATTCAATTCATTTCATTCTGCTAGATTCGTCTGTATGATCCACAATCAAACGCACGTCGACCTGTTAATGAAATTGAATTTGAACAATATCCAATTATGTCTATTGCATTACTCCATTCGTCTAATAATGAGTTCGTATAATCAACATTCATTGAATATAAACACGATCTAAAAGGACTGTTGAAACATAGCGATAAAAATTCGAATCTTACTTCCCTCATGCCAAAAACCTTATATTAATAGCATCTCGTTTTAATAGATGAACTATTTCTTTATTGCATAAGTTAAAATAGAATAAAAAAATTTCTTCCAAAATAGATAGAATAAAACAATCTCTTGATGATTAACAATAGTAATTACATCGTATTTCACATTTTAATTCTTCAAAAAAAAAATAACTTTGTTTGATGAACTTAATTTTTGTTTTTCTTAGACATTTTATTGTTGGTAATACTCAAGGTGAAATGGCTCAATTTGATATTAAACGTTTATCATCATCAGCTATCGTACATAAATATAAAGGTGTTATTGGTAGTATACGTTCGATTGATACACATCCAACATTACCATTAATAGCATCAGCTTCTATTGATCAATATGTTCGTATTCATAATGCAGATACATATCGACAAATATCAAAAGTAATTTCTAACATTCTTACATTTTTTTTTTGAGAAAAAAATTAATTTTTAAGTTTTATTTAAAATCTCGTCTTACATCTGTACTTTTTTCACCACATTCAATATCAAATCGAGAAGAACAACAAGAAAAAAATGTTGAAACAATCAATGAAGAAATCGAAAATGATGAAGTATGGTCACAATTTAAAAGAAAATTAACAAAAGAATCATCTGATAAGTTCGTATTTATTTAAAATATGAATATAATTATTATTGTGTTGATATCGTTTTAGATCTTCATCAAAAGTGAATTCAAAGAAAAAAAGAAAAAATAACTGTTTTGAATGAATTAATAAAAATAAAAATAAATAAAAACCATTGTTAAACTTGTTGTGTATTCTTTTTCTTATTTTAAGATAAAGATGTTTTCATTATTCAGGAAATTTTCTTTTGTTTTTAATCGAATTTCTAGTCAATATGCGTGTTCTTCTACATTTTCACATATTACATCTGATGGAAATATTACTATGGTTGATATAGGTCATAAAGCCAGTAGTCAACGCCGAGCAATTGCTGAAGCTATTGTTAAGTTTCCTGATTCTCATACATATCAATCCTATTTTAATGTAACAAATAAAAAAGGTGATGCACGATTATGTTCTAAAATAGCTGGAATTCTTGCAGCTAAAGTTAGTTATTGTGTTTTTTTCAATAGAAGATCTCTAATAAAAAATATAACTTTTTTTAGCGTACATCAGATTTAATTCCACTTTGTCATCCACTTCCACTTTCACATATTGATATTGAATATGAACATCGACATGAAGAAAATGAAGTTCTTATTCGTTGTATTTGTTCAACACATTATCAAACTGGTGTTGAAATGGAAGCTATGGTTGGTGCTACAATTGCTGCTGTTACTATTTATGATATGTAAGTATTAAAGATTTAAAAAAGAAAATAATAAATCATTAGTTTATCTTTTTTTATACTCAGGTGCAAAGCTTTAAGTAAATCCATTGAAATTCGAAATATTCGTCTTATTGAAAAAATTGGCGGAAAATCATCTATTACTTTACAATAAAACTATAATTAATTTATTTTCTAGATTATTTTAAATATGTCTAACGATATTAATTATCGTTCAGTAACATGTCAAGCTTCACCAAATATTGCACTTATTAAATATTGGGGTAAACGTAATGAAGAACTTATATTACCTGATAATGATTCACTAAGTATAACACTTGATCTTAGTGATATGCATTCATATACAACTATTTCAACATCATCATCTATGACATGTGATATATTTTATTTTAATGGTATTCAACAAACAAAACTTTCAGAACGAATGAAAAAAGTTCTTCAAGAAGTTCGTCGTAGATCAAAAGATAATCAAATAAAATTTGTTGAAATTCGTTCACATAATACATTTCCAGAATCAAGTGGTCTTGCTTCGAGTGCATCAGCATATGCAAGTTTAGCTATTGCTTTAACGAATTTATTTCAACTTGATGATCCTCAATCAACAGCTGCTTATTTAGCACGTATTGGTAGTGGTTCAGCTATACGAAGTGTTTATGGTGGTTTTGTACGATGGTCAAGTGAAGGTGAATGTCTTTCATCATGTGTTTATCCAGCTGAACATTGGCCAGAACTTCGAATTATTATTTTAATATTTAATTCAAGTAAAAAACCTGTTTCATCAACAGATGCTATGCAACGTACAAGAGAAACATCAACATTATTTCAAGCACGTCTTTCAACAATAAATGATAAAATAAATAAATTAATCGAAGCAATTAAAACTAAAGATTTTAATACATTTGCAAAGATTACTATGATGGATAGTAGTCAATTTCATGCTGTATGTATGGATACTTATCCACCAGTTATTTATCTTAATGAACAATCAAAACATTTAATTGATCTTGTTCATGCTTATAATCATATGGATGGAAATCAAATAATGAAAGTTGCTTATACGTTTGATGCTGGACCAAATCCATTTTGTTTCATTCGACAAGAACATGTTGATGAATTTTTGAGTCTATTGAAATATTTTTATCCAACTATGAATGATGATGTTCATAAACAAGTATCAAATATTGATAAAAAATTTCCTTCAATTAATTTATCAATTATGCCTAATGTTCTTGAAAGAATTGTTCTAACAAAAATTGGTACTGGTCCAAAAATTATTTCATAATTGTTTTTTTTTTTTTTATTAGAACAAATTGTTTTCATCAATTAAGTGATAATTTTCGGTTGATGATTTTGCTCGCAAATTTTTTATTGTTAATTTTGTTGCGTTTTTTTTTTTTTTCTAGATATTGACTTCCATCAACATTATGATCTGTAATAATCATTTATTTCTTATTTATAGTTCTTTATTCTTTGTATCATTGTATAATGTTAATACATTAAACTTGAAAGTAAATATGTTTATTGTTCGATTCATAGATAATTTGATTATCTCTGTCTCGAAATAGATATCATCCGATTTTGATTTATCATGGGATAATTGTGGACCTAGTGATGATCCAATTCAATTGAAAAGTCTTGATATTAGTCCCGATCCAATTATAGTGCCGGGTAAATTTATAAATACTATACTAATTGTCAAAAATCCTGCTATTCGATGAAGAGCATATCAAGATGAATGCTTTGGTCATAAAAACAGCAAGAAAAACTTGATTGTCTTTTGTTGGAAAGAACTAGAAGAGCAATCTAGATCTTTTATTTTTACACAAAAATGCTGCAACATTACTCATTAAAGATTACCGATAAAAACTTCATGTCAAATATTTGTAGTTTGCCCAGTTGTTGAAGTTATCTATCGGTAGTTTTTGAATAAAAATCATTGCGATTCGCCAATAAGGAATCTTTCATATCGTCTATTTCCCTAGAAATTTTCGAACAGAGACTAATTCGGAACCAATTGGACGAGATCTATGCTCCGGATCACAACAGATTGAAGTTTCGTGTTTATGACAGAGCAAAAAATAGTTGTTTTAAGGTATTAGAAAAAAAACAATGTTTCTATTAAAAATCCAATCGAAATTTATTGAACTCTATTTTTAGTAAAAATACTACGCAAAAAAAATTAATTTTAGGTAATCTTTATCTGATAGCGTGACTTTTGACAATTACTGTATTATGATCTATGTCATTAATAAGATTTAATTTTACAGGAAATATTACTATTACCGGTTCTGTTGATGTAGCATCTCAAATTCCAACAGATGTTCATGTATTTTCAATTTAACTATATTTATTTATAGAATATATTTATTTTTGTTTTTGAATTTTTTATTCTAGGCAGTAGTTTTACTTCAACGTAAAGTTGGTCCATTTTTTGTCAAAGTTCCATGTGTTGATAATTTTGGTTCATGCAATTATGATAATGTTTGTGAATTATGGGCTGAATTTTGTCCAAAGTATGCATCACAATATGGTTTACCATGTGACTGTCCTATTCCAGCAGATACATATTCTGTATCGAAAGCAAATATATTTCTAAAAAAAAATGTACCACCAGAATTATTAGGTGAATATCGAGCAACAGTTGATATTGGTTCAAGTGAAAGTCATCTTGCCTGTATTAATATTGAATTAACTATTAAGAAATAATCAAATATATGCTCAAATATTTTTCATTCCAGCTTTTATTGAACTCTATTTTGTTATTTTAATCTTTTTATTGTAATATTTTATTCAACATAAAAAAAAAAAAAAAACGAAAAAAGTTTTCTTTAATTTTTATTTTATTTAATAAGAAAAAATAAAAGCACGTATAGATTATTATCGAATTGATAATCTATGTATTTTATCTTCAAATAATGCTAAAAGAAACATAATTGTTATACCAAATAAAAAACCAATATTAACAACAAGAAAATTTTTTAGTTCAAGTTCTCCATCAGTTAATAATGTTGGTAGCTGAAAGAAAAAATATCAAAATAATATTTTTTTTACACTAAAATCATACCAAATCAGCTAATGCAATATATAAAAACATGCCAATAGTTGCTGCAAATATCCATTGACGAGCATTTTCATTATTTGACATAATTGAACCAATAAAAAATCCAATAATAGCAGTTGTTGCCGAAAGAAAATTCCATAATAATGCTCGAGAATGTGAAAAACCGGATTGTAGTAAAACAGCATAATCTCCTAAATAAAAAGATTCTTTATAATTTCTTAGGTTTAATCCAACAGCACTTAAATCATTTTTCATACAAACAATCAATATCTAAGAAACAAACCTTTCGTCACCATAGAAGCCTACGAGAGTTTTTAAAATTTTCAAATATTCAAAGTTTTTTAACGATGATTGGAGCTACTCATATGACTTGGACGAAATGATTGTCAAAGAGAAGACTCATTAGAATCTGTTGGGCTTGTCTCAGCTCCGGACTTAAGTCCGAAAGTCTTGAATTCGATGGAATCTAGACTTCGCACATACACATTTACATAATGTGCAGAAGAAAAAACATTTATTATATGCAGATAGCATCTGAACAAGAATAGTTTAATAGTGTTCGGAGAGTGATTTATTTTAATAGAAAAACTAGACTCGAAATTATTGTTTTATTTGTTCTATTATTGAACTTTTCAAAAAATCATAAGAATTCTCAATTACTTACCAAGTTCATGTGGTAATTCATGACAAGCAACAGCAATTGTTGTGGTAATACCTAACATTAAATCTTCACTAAATGCAGCACCAATAGCTAGACCATCAGCAAAATTATGTATACTATCACCAAATAATATCATCCAACCAGTAGATTTAATTACTAAATAAAATAAAACAACAGATTATTAGTATTCTAATAATAAAACTTTACTAAAGTTGAAACACAAGTTTACAGTAAAATATTCTATAGTTCTAAACAAACTATTTTGTAACTCATCAGAAAATAATTTAAGAGAAACAACTCAAAACGAGTAAACTTGGTTCTGCATATCTCTATTTTTGATTCATCATTCTAATTTACTTTTTAATTGTTGTATTGTTGGATGAATATGATCAATTTCATCACTAACTTGTGAAGTATACATTTTTTGTGATAGTGATACTTGTTCATTTAATGATTTTTCTTTTATATTACATTCAATATATGAATTTGTTGTAAGATGATGTTCATTTGAATAACTACATGGTATACAAGGTGAACTTGTATTATTAAAAAAACTTCTTGCATTCGAATATATTGATGGTGAATTTAAATGTTGATGTAAATTATGATGTGTAGGATTATGATGAAGATGACTATGTTCTATATCAGCATCAATATCAACTTGTGTATAATGAATAAGTTCATTAGTTTTATTCGAATGATTATGTATATGTGAATGTGTTGAAATCTATATAAATTTATTTTATAAATTAATATTCGAAATAAAATCTTACATGATCATGTTTATAATGAACAAACCAATGAAGAAAAATTTCTAATAGATAAAATATATAAAGAACTAAAAAGAAAACATGTGTTCAATACATAAGAACATAGCATTCCTTTTTTGCAAAACATACTTAATACAGATAATAAAATTTTCCATTGATGACTTGGAATTAGAAATGATGAATGATCATGATTATAATCATTCATATTATGATTATGACAATCAAAGATCTATGATATCAAATACATAAAGAATTTTCTATTGTCTTATTCCAAAAAAAAAAAAAAGAAACATTTTAAAAACATACAAATGGAATTAAATGGAACATTGCATCACCTAAAAGTGTTCCAATAGCAACAGCAGTAAATAAATTAAGTATATATTTAAAAGACACTTTATAAAGAATTGGAAGAGTTAATATACCAACTAATGACAGAGCTGATACAATAAATATAGCAATAAAACCATAAACATATTCTTAAAAAACAAAAGATGATATTTTAAAAGTTCAATTGAATATCGAAATAAAATGCTTTGAATAACATACTTTCAACAACAGTTGGTATTTTATGTTTCATTGGAGAGTTCATTGTTTGATAACCACATGATTTTCCCAGAAGTTTTTTAACAAAATGTTCATGACAATGTTTTGCTAATTCAACTTCATGAAATAATTTTGAATAATTACTTATATTTGTATCATTCAATGAACAAAGTACATAGGTAGTATTGGATAGAAAACACTATTCATATCAATGAATGAAACAATGGTACGTATATATGAAACAATTCAAACTTACCGATGCATTACTATTGCTGAAAAATGATACCAAGAATAAAATGATAAAATAAATAACAACCAAAAACTGCATATCTGTAATACAGAAAGAAAAAAACAAATATCGATCGTAATATTTGTTGTAAAGGTAATATATATAGTTGATATAAGGTAGATTCCCGTTTCGTCGAAAAATTAAACTGTCATGAAAAATAGTATAATCAGAGTGATAAGCTAGATTTCTTTGATTGACTTAAACTATTTCCTTAAAAAAAACCTAATAGATATCCCTATACTAGTAATCTGTATTTTTGAAAAAGTATAAATATGAGGAGGAAAAGGGAAAATTCAATTTTTTTTCTATATTCATTCATTATTACACAAAATAATGCTATCTATTGTTGAAAGTAAACATAATATACCAAATTTAATACTTGATACTTTTCGCTACACATAAAATCAAATTTTAAATACAACTGTTTATTGGAAATGTGAAAATCGTTCATGGATGTTGTGGGTGCATGTGAATGTTTTCTTCTTACACTTACATTCACTCTCATCATGTCTTTTAACAACTGGTATATTACCTTCACGAAAAAAGTTATTTGTAAATCGAAATGTATGATTACATAAATTAAACGAACGTTTTAAACAACAAACATTAACGTTGAATAAATTTCTTGAAAAATTCCTGAGACTAATTGGAATAAAAAAGTGTTGGTTTTTTTTGTTTTCTATGTTCATATTTTCTCTTAATAATTTATTATTTATGTATCTAAATCTGCTCGATAATAAAGTTTTTTTTTTTGACAAACTGATCTACAAGTACTTAGACACTATTCCTGATTAGTATGACGAAAAATCTCATCAAATGATATAATCTATTCTTCGTTGGTTAAGCAGAATTTATTTTTTTCGACGAAACGGGACCTAATCTGATATAAATTCCCACTTACATTGAAAGTATATCAACTATAGAAATTCTTTCACATATGAAATAACGTTTTCCTCCGCTTATTGACGATAAATATCTTTATAAAGAAAAGGTCTTACATTCTTTCAAGAGAAAAGATTAAAGTCTGATGATAGATAAAAACAAAATACTTTTTTTATATTAATACGTGCTTCTTATTAAATATTTATGTTAATATATATATATATATTCTTCGTAGAATATTTTTTCCTATACTCTTTACAGAAGTCGAACTATGAAAACAAAACAAAAAAAAAGTACTGATAAAATTTTATTAAGTACTTATACTGAAGATTGCTTATTTCTCGGCTAAAGTAAAAAAGAATAGAAGTACTACAACAAAACAATAGAACAAAGAGTACTAATAAATGCTCGAAAACATTACTGATTACATCTTTTTTTAGACTTTCGTTTAATTACAGTGAGCAGTTGTTTGAGTTTGTCATTATTGATAGGTTAAATTTTATTATAAAAAGAATATAGTTTCAATCAATAAATGCAGCTGTAAACACTAGAATCTATAATTTGACACTATCAATGATAGAATGTAGCATTTTATATGTGTACAGTTCGATAAAACACTGCTGTTGTGCAGAAATACCTGCGTGGTTATTTGTTACAAATACAACAATAAATAAAAAAAATGTTTTTCTTTGAGTGTATCGGTATGGGTATGGATGTTTGTAAGAGACTTCTCTCTAAATACAATTACACTCACACCCATAATCAACTTGCCTATAGAAATAGTAACTTCAATAAATGCAAACCTAAATAATATCGATAAATTCATACTCACAGAAAAGTATATATGAGCAAAAATCCCGTACCCAATCTTATAAAGTTATAATCCGACATTAATAAAGCTTTCGTCTTCATCTTTTATGTCTTCAATAAAATATCACATCATTTCTACGCGACAACTGTCTTCAATGCACTCTCCTTATATCGGAGTGATATACAATATACTGTTTCATGTCATTTACGATAGTCAGAATTGTCGTCTTGGGAAATGAATCGTACTCTTTTTCAATTACTATATTGGTTGAACGGCAAATAGAAGGAAAATTGTTGCGAGTATGCTAAAAAGGTTATTTTGTCAAATGTATACTCAGTTGTATAGTGAGGATAAACTCTGTTTTACATTTTTAGATTTTTGATGAGCTATGTGTTACTGGAGAAGTCACAGATGCCATCAACAAAATTAGTAGTTAAAGAGTGAGTGAAAATTATTATCTATTGTGTAGAATATTACTATAGCGTTTTTTGGATTTCTCTCGAGTTTTTTTTCTTGGCCATAATATCACTTTTCTGTTTCAAAGTCACTACCCATATTTGGTCTTACACGTGCTGTTTTAATATTTATTGAGCAAACTATCATATATAACAGAGTTGTTACAAATAAAGTTTAAAAAAAACAGTTAACGTTGTTCCCTTTGATAAAATCTATACTCACTTGGAACTTCCAAGAATTTTCTTCATTTCTTCTTTGAAATATTTACTGAATGTTTTACAGCAAGCTCAATTACAGTGTTTTACACATATTATCATATATTCGATGATTTTGATTTATTGAAATTCGTTATGAAAACGATCTCAAGACTTCTCGATCGGATTTAGACCAGATGAACTTGCTAGCCATTTTAAAATACTAATATAATTACCTTTCATCCATTTTATTGAATTCTTTTTGTGTATAAGGTATTGCATTAGGCGGCATCTAAGCCCGATTCTTATTTTATGTCTCCCATGCATTCTGAATAAACATAGAGGCGGCATCTTTGACTGTTTTTACATATGCAAGATTATTCAATCTTCCATTATCGATGGTTATTGAACGGCGAACGCATTTTGATATCCACACTCACATGTTAACAGTGTCACAGGCAGCGTGCCTGCATGGGAAGAAAACTGAATAGTTCATTACTTCCGGATTTCAAACCACAAAAGAAGGACTGTTTTTTTTCAATTGAACACTTCAAACTACACTTCACCACCCCAGACAATATTATTCCATGCATTCATTGAATATTGATGGGGTTTTACAAATGTTACAAGTTGTTTAACTTAAGTAGACTTTCTAACAACATTCTTGTTTACATGTATTGTTTTGATTAGTTACACTTATTAAACCACGATGTTCAATAGTAGTACAGCATTTTCTACAGTTCGATAGATTCCAGTTAGTTGATAATATTTGATTAGATTTTGTTCAATCTTTCTTCAACATTCACAATGATTCATGACTATTAGCGGACTTGATTGCTTGTCTTGTTATCATGTCGAATGAATTTAATAGGACTCAATTCTATCTACTTTAACTTTTCTCAGTAGCTATAAACAGAATTTTTGTGACACATCTGATAAACACGGATGTGAGCTGGACGCGGGTGAGAATGAAGAGGAGATCAGCATACCTACACCCAGAAACTCAATTTATGTTTTTGGGACGGAACCATTCGACGAGATCAGAGAGAAATTTCTATCTAAAGAACGACCACTAAAACGTGTTGTAATGAGTGCTGAAATACTACATTCTGTAAAAAATTCTTTTTAGTATCTTCTGACAGATTCTCCCACGTAAAGCAATGAGCAGCAATAGGCAAAACCTTCAAGTACCATTGGTACGAGAAAAGCCTTTTATAAAATTTTTATGGTCGAGTGTGATGTGCGGCATTTCTCGGAATAACGTCAGAAAAATGTGATATTATGGATTTATAAGTTTTTGAATATAATCTTCGATTAAAGCTATAAAAAAAGCAAGCGACGCCCTACGCTGTGTGAGGCTGATCTGTTTTCTGACGGATCATTCTTTAAATAATTTCTCGGATTAAAGTGGATAAAAATCTATTAACTCATTGAAAGCAAATAAAATACGTTTTTTTTGTTTCGATATTTATAAGTTTTATCTTGGAAGTTTTTGTGGAATCAAGAATATGAAGAAAATATTCAAAGATCAGTATCATTCAGGATTTTGAACCCACCGCCAAATGAAAATAAACATTCTTTTCTTAGTTCTCGTGAGTTATAATCATTCAATTTAATAATAACACAGATGAAATACTACAAACAATAAAGTTACCTTCTTGAGGGTGTGAGTGGGTGTAGGTGTAGACGTGCTCTTCATCCACACCCACATCCAGAATTGAAATGAAAAAAAATACAATCTTTAAACATCTTTCTAATATATTGTAAATAAATAAAAAAAATGTCGATTCCTAATGAACTACGGGATCAGCACTGGCAAAGCGATTAGCTAACCGCATGGGTTTCATCAATTTTGATGATAAAAAACACGGAAAAATGGCGTTATTTGAACATGAACATCGAGGAAAAAGTAATGATACCAAGGAAGATAATAGTTCCAAAGATCTTCAAAACGATTATAGCTAAGGTCCCGGACATTGTTGATTTATCTGAAGCTGCGATAGTTCAGACATTATTTGAACAAAAAAAAAACTGCTTTTACTATTAATTATATTAAACATATAGAAATATGTATTTCCTTTTTGCTATAACATCTATTAAACTTTAATCAAGAATTTTAGCAACCTGTAGAACTCTAGTGGCAAAATCAAGGTAGGACCACGACGAGTTCAGTCCTACTACCAGAGGTTTAAGTCCTAACATCTAAGTTCTTGTGAAATTTTTTTTCTCAATGTTTTCTTTGACTCCAATTTACACTGATCGAACTTTTGACTGAAAAAAAAATTAGAGAAGTTTTAGTCAATTGATATCAATTACAATTTAACGTTATAAGCATTGACCAACAATTGTCTAATATGAGATGTATCAGAATGGTTCTTTTTGATTGAGTGGAAGTTTGTAATAGAATTTTTCCAAAATGTACTACATCATGATAACAATGCTTATTCAAATCGATATATTACATGACATACATAAGTGTTCATAAAGTCTAATATGACAAGAAACAAGAAAAATACAACCAAAAAGAAAATTAAGTAAAATACTGAGATAAAGAAAAGTTTATTTGTAAGTATCCACAAGTTTACTTATTCAATTTGTTGATTTCATATTGAACATTTTCCTCTTGGTCAAAAGACTTTTTATTAATATTGTTGTTTCGAATACTACAAGACAAATAAAAAAGAAACGAATGGTAACATTGTCTTGATCAATGAGTATGTCGAAGATACCATACATAGGTTGTGGAAGAAATCGAAAATATTTGATTCAAATCTTTTCTCTTTTGTTAATCTTTTGATAAAAAAATTTTTTCATATCCAAATTTATAATAAATGAGTTACTTTTCACTTGTTCTCTTAACTCTCGAAATACGCTATAATTAACAAAAAGAAATCGAACTATCAATAACGACAATGAATAAACTTAAAACTAGACATTCATCTCTACGGGAAATGTATCTTATCGTGTTAGATCGCATATCATAGATGAAGAACAAAATGAAAATATCAAAAATGCACGATGCCTACTCGTTCTATAATTGACATTTCATATGGTTAAAAAATAATTTATTCATCTACTACATCTAAATTACTTAGTCAATGTTTAGCTGAAACAAAAACAACTAATGTATTATCTAATTCCAGTAGTTAATTCAGACATTATCTCATCTATAATCAATAGAAAAAAAATATATCTATTTCTATCAAAACCATGAAGAGTCTTAGTAAATGTTTACTTTTCGAAAAGAGACATTTATTTATTAATTCATATTTTTTACATCATTGCACGTTCGTTGAAAGCTAAGGGTGTGGATGTGGGTGGAGTGTAAATCTGGGTGTTCAGAAAAGATTTAACCCACACTCGCAGAGTGCACGGAATATGACTAACCTGCGCAAGTATGAGTCTCACGATCAGAGAAGCGTGTAGAGATCCCTTCAATATCTTCGTCATTTACCATTTTTATGCCCGGTTCGACTAGAATAATTCGTTTTACAATTGATGTGACTCAAATCCAGCCATCAATTAAACTGTTTCGATTCTGGTATTTATAGATCGCTTGAACGCTTCAAGAGATGATCCGGTTTTTCGTTCAGAAGGACCCTTAAAATACCCTGTACACGGGCTTATCCTTCAGATCAAAGATCATTTCAATATCATAATAATAGGATTCAATGATTTATGATGTTCGACAATTTATAATAGAAAATTAGAAATGTCGTAGTACGATAAACAATGTATTATTTGTGAATCTACTGATCAAACAACACATCATTTTTCTATATTGTCTCTCTTAAAGATAAGTAGTTTTTTGAAATTTTTTAATATAAAATTCTTTTATATCGTTACCAAATATTTTCTTAATTGACAAACAAAACATTTTCATTGAAGAAAGTCGAAAGATTATTCTTTTAATCTGTCTGATGCTAGGCAAACTTTTATTTAAATAGAAAACTAATATAAAAACCTTCGTAAAGCAAAGTAAGAAAAGCCCACAGAACTATGTAACTACGAAAGAGAATCATTGATATGAGTAGATAAATAATAAGATCATCGATTCATTTGAAAAAATAAACGAGAATATTATCATCCTAATTGAACTATTTTATCTTCGAATACCGCCAATAAAAACATAATTGTAACACCAAATAAAAATCCAATATTTACACAAATAAAACGTTTGAATTCAATATTTCGATCAGATATTAACGTAGGTAACTAAAATAACATTAAATTCTCAATTGAATTTCTTTTAATACTTTTCTTTTATCGAAACTTACAAGATCGACTAATGCAATATAAAGAAACATGCCAATTGTTACAGCAAATATCCATTGACGAACACTTTCATTCGTCGATACAGCTGCACCAACCAAAAAACCAATCAAAGCAGTAGTTGCCGAAATAAAATTCCAAAATATTGCTCGATTATGAGAAAAACCTGATTGAATCAATACTGCATAATCTCCTAAAATAAAACGTTATCTTAGAAATAAATCTTTTACAATAACTGTTTTTCTTGCTCCAAAAATAGGTTATATTCATGTTAAATGAATTACCTTTAGAAATATTCATGTACAGTCGTCTCTCTCCGAATAAGAAAAATCTACTATTTGTACGTTTTCATTAGAATAGTAAAATATTCGAGATCGATGTTTATATAATTAAATTAATTCAAATGATTTTGAAATTTTCTGCAGAAGAATACAAATAAACATATTTTGCTCAAATATTTACAATAGAACGAGCTCTCACAGATTTTTCATATATATGAAATACTCACCAAATTCATGAGGTAATTCATGACAACCTATTGCAATTGTTGTTGTAAGACCTAACATAAGACGTTCACTGAAAGCAGCTCCAATGGCTAAACCATCGGCAAAATTATGAATACCATCACCGAGAATTATCATCCAACCAGTAACTCGTGTAACTAAAACCAAGATGAATCATGAAATAAATCTCATCAGTGAATGTACTGAGTTCAAAGTATCCCGCCATTTAAAGTCTATATTCAGGTGAGAGATCACACTAAATAATGTAAAATTCTAAGAGAGTTATATTGTCGGAGTCTTTATTCTTGACATATCAAATTTTTAGAGTATTTTTTAGCAGAAAGTTGTAATTCCTATCAGATCATCATGAAAATCGACTTTCGACCTTAAGCTTTCCATAAATGATGATCTTAATGATATAGCTCAATATAAAAATCTCCTTATTTTTCTGTTCTTCTATGGTGTGATATGAATACTGAAAAACCTTCTGATAGAAAATCGCAATTATTCTTCGTATACTAATATCTCACGATACTAGATACTTAAGTTCATGAAATTTTTTCAACGATTTATTTTCTGTTAAAGAATAGAATAAACATTCGATATCTCAAGGTGAAAGAGTTAAACAAACAAACTCTCTTAGACTTTTACATTGATCATCATAGCCTTTCATCTGAATATAGTCTCGATCAAAAAGTAATCAGTCTGAGCGAAGTATCCAAAAAAAGTATCCTGTTCATAATAGTTTCAGTACATGGATATATTGAACTCAGTACACTCATTAGAACTTTTCTCTAATATACAAATATACTTTTGCATGAATTTTGAGAATCTGACTTATTTTCATTAGTATTGACTTTTTCTTGTGATGCTGATACTTGTTGCATATCATCATGATGAGAACAATTTCTAGTAACACATGCCAATGTTGGATCTCTTTCATTATAGTTATGATGATGAATATGATTATGTGAATGGTGATCATGTGCTAAATTTTCATCGATATTTACTGTTGCATGAATATTTATTTGATCAGTTTTAGTCTTTTCTTGAAGTTGCATTGTATGACTATGACCATGAGCATGAGAATGAGCAGAATTCTACATATTCAATGGATTGAAGAAAACAAAAATAATTGATTTAATCAAATAACAAAATTTTACTTCATTCTGTCGAAAATGACTAATCCAATGAAGGATTACTTCGAGTAAATAAAATCCATATAGAACTAAAAAGAGAACAAAATGATCGAACTTGAATTATTTTTCTATACATACCAATCACAGTAATGAACATTCTCCATTGATAAACAGGAATAGAAACTAATGAATTATTTTCGGCTTCATGTACGTGTCCATGTCCATCCGATGCATGACTATGAAGACCCATTGTCTATAACAAAATAAAATTTCTGTTTTTTTTTGTTTTTCGTCAAAATTTTTTCAACAAAGTTAATAAAACAAATAATGAATACATACAAATGGAATTAAATGAAACATCGTATCACCAAAGAGTGTTCCAACAGCTAGAGCAGTAAATGTTGCAAGTATATATTGAAAAGCAACTCGGTAAATAATTGGAAAAACTAATAAACCACCAAGTGACATAATAGATATGATAAATACAGCAAGAAATCCATAACCAAATCCTGAAAAAAAAAAGATTTACCTATCATCTTTACTATATAACTTTGAACAAATACTTAAATGAGTATGAATGTTATTCTATTACATTAAAAAAAAACAAAATAAACATACGCTGAACAGTAGATGGAATTTCTTTTTCAATGGTTGATTCTTCACATACTGGTTTTCCCAAAACTTCTTCCACAACATGTGAATTACATGAATGACTAAATTTATCTCCAGTAAACATTTGCGAAACAATTGTTACATTTGTATCACGAATAATACAAAGTGCATAGGTAATGTCAGCCGAAACACACTATTTATATGATTAAATGATATATATTGATACAGATATCAAACAATAGACTTACTGATTTATCTTCTTCTTCGATAGTTTTGGCAAATGATACCAAAAGCAAAAAGATCAAATAGGTAAGTATAGAAATTTTCATAACTGAAAAAATAAATTTATTATTATTGATTGTTCATGTTGATGATGATTAAGACTTATAAACATAAACTATTTGACAAGAAAGAGAACTAGAATACGACATTATATTATTATTCATATTAAACAATTTTGATTGTTTTAAGTCATCATTTATTATCTTAAACAATTCAGTATAGACAGCAAATATTAGTATTGACAAAAAAAAACCTGACTAATGTGTAATGAAATACGACAAAATCTTTTTTATTGTGTGATTAGAGAGAAAAAAAATAATATGCATTTCTATAATATAAAATATTACAAGATACTTAGTCAATAAAGTATTCATTTTTAACAGATACGGTACAATAAACGAGCTTCTCAGTATTTAGACAAGAATTTTTAGAAACGTATTGACACATCCTAATCGTGACTTTCGTTTGAGCGTTTTCAGACATTGTTGTTTTTCTCAATATCTTTGATATTTCTTATCGTCTCCGATTGAATTTTTTTCAAAAGTTGCACCACGACTTTATTTTTGTTTCTCTTGGCTAATGAACATTTGATAAAAAGCTTTAAAGCACCATTTTAGGAAGAATGAAATATGCTAGAAGTCATGCCATATATGAAGACTAAGGTCATTCTGAAACCGACTTTCTCTTGTGCCTTTAACCTGATAAACAGCAAAAATGTATTTATTCACAAATCAGCAAAACTATTCTATACTCAATTATTAACTTATAAAATAAAAAGTTCGCATCGGAAGAGTAACTTTTACTTCGATTAAATCGTTTGTTCAAGAACACAAAATCGAAGGATGTAAAGACATAAATTGTCTTGTGAATATAAAGATAAACTAGGAATGTGTATTTTGAACGAAAAATGTTTGCTGAGAAAATTGATAAAGTATGACTATAAAATAATGCTTTTCAAGCTCTATAGAATGTACAATAAAACTCTTTCATATTTCAATACCATGTCACGAGAAATACAAAAAGCACTCAGTTTTATCCATGAAACTTGTTAGTCATACACATTGTCATAGTACTGCTCGAATAAATTATTTTAGTTCTACCTTTTCAACCAATATTTTCCAATGGGTTTAGAGAGAATTTCATGGTGTTTCTATTAGAAAAAAAGTTTGTCTCAAAATAATAACAAATGGCAGAGATATTAAGAAAATACTACAACATTCATTTATTCTGCCTCATTCTTGGTTATAATATCAGTTTTTTTTTTCTTTGCTACACACATTCTTCCGCTAATCTCATCATTGGTTGTAGTAATTCAAAACCCTACGTACATACATTGATAGATTGTATCTGCTTATTCAGTATACTGTGTCCTAAATTGATAATATATTTTTGCATATCTTTCCTAGACAAAATAGAAGAACAACAAAAATATGATCATAATAATAAAGGTATATTGTTCCCTGTGGGAATATTCATTGTAAACTTTCTATAATTAATATGCAGAAAAAAAGTGTCTTTAACAGTAGGGTTTTTTTTAGTTGGTTAAAAGCATATTTCTAATATAAAATGAAGAATATAAGCACTTAAAGTTTGTTTTCGTTTTATATTTCTATTGATGCTTACGAAAGAAGAACAATAAAATTACTACTTATCTGTACAAGTGAAATGAAACGAATATACTCAAAAGTAAAAATAGAAAAATAAACACTATAAATACTTGAACGTGAGAGGGAGAGAAAGAAAGAGACACAGATGAGAGAGAAGAGCAAGCCAAAAACAATAGATGTGAAAGAACTTCATAAAACTAAGAACATGATGAGGAGGAAGCAGGGAAAATGAGGGAGAGAGAAAACGAAAGATACGATAAAGCAAGTAATGGCGATAGAAGGTAAGCGAGAGGGAAACAGAGATAGATGAGAGCGGACGACGAAAAAAATGTAAGCGAGTAGAGGCCAAAGGAGAGAAGAAGACAAAGACAGAAAGAGGGACAAAAAACAAGACAGACGAGAAAAGATAGTAAGCAGAGTCAGTCTTGTTCGTATCTGTCTTTTTTTTAGTACATTTTTCTTGTTCATCACGCATCAATGGCCAGTACATTATAATGAATAACTCATATGTATTTTTTTTTCTCTGTTTCTATTGTTTCTATTTTTATAAATAAAATTTATAATGCAAATAGTTTTTATACTATTTGGAACAGTCAAAATCTATGAAGACTACTTTTTTTCATGTAAAGTGATCATCTCAAAATATTTCAAATCGAATCATTAATAAAATATTTATTTACGTTCAGTATAACATCATCAAGTCAAATACCAGGACTTATATCATATTATTTTTTTTATAAACGAATCACATAAGAAAAGCGAACTGCATGGGATATATATATATATTGATATAAGAAAAACAATAGGTCAAGTAACACAAAAAAGAAAACAATTGTCAATAGTTTCTTTTGTGACGTATGCAAGTTTTTGCTTCAATCTACATCTATATATCATACCTTACTGATTTCTTACAAGTTATTTTTCTTAACATATAATTACAATCTAAATTATATTGAATTTAATAAATTTCAATAGTAGAATATTTCTATTTGATAAATCGCTAGAGATTAAGTAAATTTAGTAAAAGCTGTTCTTTCATTTTGTAAATTGTGTAATATATTTTCTATTTAACAATGTTAAAAAAAGTTGTCATAACAATAACAATCAATATTGCCAATATTGACCTACATTTTTTTCATATTCTTTTGACTTTATAAGCTCAAAATAAACAAAAGAAATTACATATATGTATCTAAATATTGAGTAATGAGTATGTCTATTTAAACATATTAGTATTGAATATATGTATGTAATAGTCAGTTTAAATTGTTTGCACAATGAAACATTGTTCTTTTTTTCTTCATATAACATAATTATGTATGAATTTGAAACATATGCTCTACTATCAGATATTTATTTAGTTAATATAGAATGCGAATTTAATGATCAAATAAATTGAAATATCATTTTCTTTAAAGAAAAAACTAAATGATGAACATTATAATGTTGTTTGAATCTTAAGTACATTTTAATAATGTTATTTTTTACATAATATTCTTTTCTTTGTCAAAGTCTAAGATAATATTTAGCGATCGAACCATGGTTAAAGATAGATAAGAAGGTATTTTAAAAAGATGCATTTACTTTATAATGATAAAATTAAGCAAACTATTTTTTTCTTATCTATAACAATGGTTTTTTTTTATCTATTCTAAAGATGTAGAAATCTTTGTATATAAAAAGCATAATTTTATTGTGTGTTCGTTTTAGATTTAACTTTCTCTCGTATTCAGACCATGGCATTTCGCATTCACTTATGTTTTATATACATTATCATATTTCTATTAACGTTTTATAACATTAATGCATTGAGAATTTATAAACAACCTAAATTAGTAAGTGTGTATGTATGTTTATTTTTGTTCGTTACTTTAATTTTTCGATTTTTAAGATATCAAAAATGTTGAATTTTTCATGGGAAGATTGTGGTCCCAGTTCTGATCCAATTCAAGTAACATCATTGACTATTAGTCCAGACCCTGTTGAAATACCAGGTAAGATCGTTTCATAAACGAAATATAAATTCTTTGTTTTTTTTTACATATGTTTACATTTATTACAGGAGACCTGACTCTTGCTGTTTCTGCTGATATTACATCTGCATTACCAACAGATATTTATGTAAGTACATTAATACTGTAAAAAAAGATATTGATTTCATATTTTTTTTGGATTATAGATAGCACTTACTATGGAAAGAAAAGTTGACGGTCTTTATATAAAAGTACCATGTATTGATAATGTTGGTTCATGCAATTATGGTAATATTTGTGAAGCTTGGGCTCAAGTATGTCCACAATATTTCGCAAAATATGGTATTCCATGTGATTGTCCAATACCTGCTAACACCTATTCAATACCTGAAACAACTGTGACAATAACATCAACATTACCAGCTCTATTAACAGGTACATTTCGAATAACTGCTGATATTCGTTCTAGTGAAGGTCATCTTGGCTGTATTCAAGCTCAAATTAATCTTAAAACATAATTTCAAAAACCCGTTTCATCTTTATTCTGTAATTAACTTTTTTCGTTTGTTTATACACAACAATACATTACATTTAAAAAATTGAGATTTTTTATTTAATTATAAAATAATTAATTATAACTATATACAACTGTAGAACAAATCAAACATAAAAGATGCATTATTATTATCACCGGTTTTTACGGCAAAAACAAAAAGAAAAAAAAAAAAAAAAAGAAACAGAATACTATTTAGGGATCCAATGGTGACGGTTATCATCAGTGCCACCGACACCGTCACTTCATTCCTAATATTATTGAGAAATATACACGATGAAAAAAAAGCACTAATTGTAAACAAAAATAATAATACTATGTTGATGTTCGAATTAGAGAGTCTTCAAATAAAGCTAATACAAACATAATTGCAATACCAGTTATAATTCCAATATTAACAATTACAAAACGTTTTATATTAGTTCGATTGTGAGATAATAAAGCTGGTAACTAAAATAAAAAGAACACTATTATAAAAAAAAAAAATTTTTTTTCGAAAAGAAAAAAACATACAAGATCAACGAGTGCAATATAAATAAACATGCCAATAGTCACTGCAAATATCCATTGACGAATATGATCATTACTTGATAATGTTACGCCAATAAAAAATCCTATAAAAGCAGTTAGTGCAGAAATAAAATTCCATAAAATAGCACGAGAATGTGAAAAACCAGATTGAATCAAAACAGCATAATCACCTAATGAA